AAAACCCCAAAAGGTTTGGGTACATTAGGACCAAGATTGAGCTTTTCCATTTTAGTATATAGAGCCGGATAAGTAATTATTTACAGCATCAGAAATCGGTTGAAGCTCTTGGATTAATTTTTTAACACATTTCTGATGCTCTTGACAGTGCGTAGATGCAGTGTTTGCGGTGACATATGGCTTATTGTTGCTGTCTGTGAAACAACCAAAATGTTCTATTAAATCCTTAGCAAATTGGTCAAATTGATGTGAGGGATCACTAAGGGTGTAGTTATAATATTCATTTACTATCCTTTCTGCAATCTCAGTGGCTAAAAAATTTGTAAAATCGAAGAAATCTACTAGCGTTTCACCAACAGCATTTTTCAAATATTGAGGTTTGGAAATGTATTTGTAACCATCAAGATGAATACTGCCTGCAACTTTCTTTGTCGTTTCATCTGCAATAAAAAGTTTATCGCATGGATGTCGTTGGAACACTTCTGAGATGATATGAAGCTCTAGAGAATTTTTTTGGTCCTCCACTTGCAATTTGTATGCGATTAATTTTTGCCCATACACGGCAACAATAATGATGGAATGTTTTTATAAAATTAGGAACCTTATCGAAACCCGCCCACTGCCCAAATTTATTCCACAATTCTGGGGACGCTGAATCTGAAGTATATGTTGTGTAAAAAATTTCTGATTTTAGTAACTTTAAATATTGAACTGGTATTGTAGGGAGGGCATTATTGGCAGGAACTTGTTTGTTGACAATTTGTCTTTGATATCTCTTTTCTAAAAGTTTCTTGATAAACATGAACTCTGGACTGGCTATTGTGGAGGGCTGGGATATATTGGATGATTTAAGGTCTTCAGCATCAAAATCCTCAGAAACCCACTGTTTTCGAATATAATCACGGGTTTCTTCTTCTGTAAATTTACGTGTCTCTTTTTGTGTTTTGTGCTTTAATAAAATGCGATTAATATGTGAACATTAAATTAACTGAGTGGCGTATGTCTATATTGATTTTAGGGTGAGTACACACAAATTACTTCTTATCCAATAGCTCAGTGGTTTAAACCGCAGAGAGCTTGTCGGATCTCTCTATCCTTACTAAAGGACAATAATAACTTGGCAACCACACCTTTGACAACAACGAAAAATAGCGTAAGTTAGTTACATACTTTTAAAGGATTATAAAGTATATTTGTTCTTTCTTCGATCTGGTTAACGTTAGAATTGGACGTGGAATTATCTTCTCTAGTGGAACTATTGAGAACTTCAATTTTAGCTTTTTTTCATAACATGTAGTTTTTTTTACGTAAAATTCTCTTGGAGGACTTTGAAAAAATAATTAAAGAATTTTGTGATGACATAGTGATGACACAAGTAAGAAATTGTTATTGTTATGAAAAAATATTAAGGTGTTTTGAAAAACAAACAAAATCAAAGCAGAGCTTCATTTTAAAAATGGCCTTTTATTAGAGATTACAATTTATTTCATGTTCTGTGGTTCAGTAGACAACAATCTGACACGAAGCAGTATATATGATATAAATAACTCAGCATTACGATAATTCAACACGAGTCAACTAACAATTCTTATTCTGCACTATAATAATTTAACACGATAATTCTATGCTAACAAACAATTACATATTTACTATATTTGGCACTACAATTATTAAACACACCAACAATCGCACATTTTCCATATTTGGGATTAGATCGTTAATAACTAGTTAAACAGGTATAGTTATATAGGTACGATGAGAATTTTACACGCTATTTAAGTCCATTTTACAAATTTAGAATAACCGTTAGCTATATAACAAACATGTTGATCAAACATCTAGCATCACTTTTTTTTTTTACCAAAGTGTGATACATGCTGAAAAAATAACATACGTACATATATGTCATACTATCATATGACTCAACGGTCCACTTTTATTTTGGCCTAGATCGAAGCTAAAATAGCGAAAATTTAATATTCATATTTATCAGATAAAAAGTTTACCGGCTTTAATAATCAATGGCCAGCATTAAATTTTATGCATTGTTACATTAATTTCTCACAGTCGATTTTTGATAATAAATATCTAGAAAGCCTTTTCTTATTATATATAATACTGCGATAAGAAAAAGTGCAAATGGAACTTAAAAGGGCTATAATAGGGAAGAGTACAACTTTCTTTATCAGCGGTATTGTCAAATTTCATATATTGCAGGAACTTGGAATTCACAGATTACCGGGATCGTTAACTTTTTCACTTTGCAGAAGCGATCGTCAAATCTAAGGAGAGTTTAATTTCACCAAAAAAGCGACAAAATAGATTCAGTATTTGGAACTTATAACTGAGTAGACTTGCTTTACATAGTGGGATCTAGATTGCTTTACCCTATCGCAATTACTAATTGTGTAACTTTTTTTCTGGCAGGTTTTTTAGATCTAGCGAATAGATGGTATAAATAAGCAAGTTTCTACCTTAAGATAAGTTAGTAAATAACATTATTTTTGCTTATATATTTTTTACTTGATTTACTTGCCTGCATTTTTTTTTAAAAGTAATTAGTGCTATTTCATTTTATGGAAGCTATGAAATCGAATTTTACTTACTATAAATTTTGTATATATTTAAGTATGAAAAATGAGCAGTAATGATAGCACTACCAAGACCAATGATAGTACCACTATGAGTAATAACACCACCACCACGAGCAATAACACCACCACCACGAGTAATAACACCACCACCTCCACAATTAATGACAATAACCCTCCGAGACCTATTATATCCCCCAACACCGCCCAATCCAAGACCTAGCTAAAGGACTCCTAATTCACACAATAATAGAAGAAACAGGCATGGCAAGTAAAATCTCATCTTATTGCATACAGTATATTCAAAACATATGAATGCTTATGTAGTAAAATTTTATTTAAATCAGATAATTTGAACTATAGCATCTTACTAGACGATGAGCAATATATTGAGAGAGGTGATTATTGGACACCACTTTCGGAGGCATCTTTAAGAAGACGTATAGAAAATGATGACTGGAGCGATATGAATCCTTATAATGCTCAAGAAGCATTAGATCAAATGTAAACCCCACCAACATAGCCCATTAACGGTGCCTCTTTGAGGCGTATATTTTTTTATTATATAATAAAAATATTTTTTTACCTGTATATCCTCGTTCCGGCAAAAAAAATATTAAATAAAGAGGGAGGTCCTGTGCCCTCACCAAATGTTATTTTTATATGATTGTGTAAATTGGTCAGGATTTTATTGGGTTAAAATAAAACTTTTACTTATTATAGTCTACATAATGCTCGCTCTATGCTTCACATTTACTATGGGGATTCCACTAAAAGTTCTCTTACAACAATAGAGACGATACGTTTTTTCACCACAATAATTACCAGAACCCATTCACTCTTTATATTTCTCCATATACTTTCTTTATGATCTCTATTGCATAAAAGGCATATTCCTGAATAATCATAACAATCGCTATTTTTATTGCTATATTTAAGTGATAAATTGTTAAATTGCTTCAATGTGGTATAAATAACAAGATTTTGTTTTTCTTCTGGATCATCGGGTAAGATAGAAATTGGAAAACGAGAATTGAGAGATGCATTTTTGTTTATAGGTAATATGCATACCTCTGTTTTTTTTTTGTTATCTTTGATTTGGAAGAATCTAGAAGTTTCAGAGTTTATCCAAGGATCAAGTCTGGTTTTATTCTTATATCTTTTATATAACCTAGAACAGATATTATCTGTCAAAGGGCTTGGCAATTCTGTTAATTTAGCTTCCCACTTCAAATATTCAAGAGTTAACGTTTTGTTGGTATTTGTTTGTGTATTCATATTGCCATTTTATATAATTGTATATCTCTTTAAATTAACAATAGCAGACAAAAATAAATATACCCAGAGAGACATACTATAAAAGGTCTAAACGAAATTGTTTTAGTATCAAGTTTATGCTATTACCTTAATTTCAATTCCACGTTGTTCACATTTAAGATTATAAGATCCAATTTCATATCTGCCTTCTATACTATTCTCTTCGTCATGATTTAACTTGCATAATGGACATCGAGATTCATCAGTAATCTCATAATAATCGTCATTTCCATTACTACCTTCTCGATATAAATTAGGATATTGTTTTAATGTTTTATTACGGAAATAAATATGATCACAAGTTGGATTAGATGGAGATATAGATGATGCACTTATCTCACTTTCTGCTAAATCATTTGAGTCAGACAATTTAGTCATATAAGGGTGAGACCTGAGGTCATGCGGTACACATTCTACTTTTTTAGATGTGAAAGTATTCTTACTATTTCGGGACTCTTTGGTAAAATGTTCTATAATATATTGAATTTGCGAGTTAGAGAGTTTTGATATTCTATTCGTACTATAAGATTTAACCCGTTTAATTTTATCCTTTCCTATACCGTTAAATAAATTATAAATCTTACAAGCTCTTTGAGTTTGCTTGCGAAAATTCTCACATGAGACACCAGAAAGACAATCTCAAATTTCATCATAAACTTGAATTCTTGCCAAGTCATCTGCTCTTTTATTATTTCGGCAAAAAGATAAATTATCATTAACTCTCCTTTTGAAACCTTTCGCATAATAATACCAGCTTAAAATTTCTTCTTGCTTAGCATAGATAGTATTCCTTTTAGCTTTTCTTGCTTTTTGATATAAATGAGCCAATTCGATAACAATATGTTTGTCATTTTCATTGTGATCTGATATATCCAGCTCTTTATTTTTAATGACTTCAATTAATTCTTCTGATACAGGTTCCAAACATAATTCTTGTACAAATTTTTGTATCTCAATTCGGCTATCCTTCTGAATTGAATCGTTTTTAGTTTCAGTTACATGAGGGTGAGACTCGGGGTCACACGGTTGATGCTCGGTCATAATATTTATTTCGGAAGAAATGATACTTTGTACCTGGTTACAACTTGGGTTGTCGTTTTTTGCACTATTGTCTTGTTCCAATTTAGATATTTCAGTTTCTAGAAAATTCGACTCTGCTAAAATTTGCTCACTCTCTCTAAGGAAGCAGTTTTTGAGTCACAAGATAAATTAGATGTATCGTTGTCTGAAGATAAGTCTGGATTTTGATAAGACAAAGCCTCAAGACTATGTCTCTCTCGAAACTTTTTTTCCTGATTTCTCTTTTTTATTTCGTTTCTAATTTGTTCTTTACATACCCGTTCTAGAAATTTGATCCCTTTATCTTCAAAAGATACATCAGAATTAGAAATATTGTCAGATACATTTTCTATCTGTTCAGGGGTATTATCAGAATTCGTTTTGTAAGATGCAGTATTATCATCTAATTTAGCAATAAGGTCGCCTTTTTCTTCGTTATTTTGTGATAACTTTTGTTCCAATTTCGAAACCCTAGATTTGAGTTCGGTATTCTCGTTTATAAGGTTTGCGATATCTGTTTTATTTTTCCTATCTTGTTCTTCG